CTTGGGGCGCTCCAGGGCCGTCTTGGAGGCCATCTTGGGCGTCTTGGAGGCCATCTTGGGCGTGTTGGAGGCCTCTTGGGCCGTCTTGGGGCCCTCTAGGGGCCATCTTGGAGGCCACTTGGGCCATCAGGGGGCTCTCTTGGGGGCCTCTTGGGCGATCTTGGGGGCTTCTTGGGCCGTCTTGAGCCGTCGGAGAGCCGAAAAGGCGCAAATGCCAAAATCCTTCAAAAACCAAGGGAAAATCAATGATTTTGGCCTCTTCGGACTCTCCTGGAGGACCTCTTGGAGGCCTCTTGGGCCGTCTGGGAGGCCTCTGGGGGGCCTCTTGGGCCGTCTTGGGCCGTCTTGGACTCTCTTGGGCCGTTTTGGAGGCCGTCTTGGACCATCTCGGGCGGACTTGGAGGCCATCTTGGGCCATCTTCGCGATTTTTTGAGGATGTCCCGAGCGAAACGGCCGTTTTTTGGAGGATTTGTTGCGGTCGTTGAGCACGTTTGGGGATTTTCCGGGTGGCCGGCGGGTTCTGCCGGAGCCCACTGGGGAGTTCTTTTGGAAAAAGAACCAAAACCAAAACCTAACAGCTCGTCCAGCACGCCGTGCACCCCTGCAAGCAGGGGGCGGCGGATCCAGTGGCATTCGGCCCATCCCGCCACCGTGCGTGGGTTGTTGGTTGGAGGTCTCTTGCATGTTTGTTTGGATATCGTGGGAGGCCTCTCGGAGGCCTGTTGGAGGCATTTGTGAGGCCTCTTGGTGGCCGTTTGGGGGCCTCTTGGGCCTTCTTTTTGGAGTCTTGGGGGCCTCGTGGGGCCTCTTGGGGGCCGAGCTCTCTTGGGGGCCTCTTTGGGCCTCCTGGGGATCTCTTTGGGCGGAAGGCTCGAATTGTTGGTTCGTGTTCTCCCTCCTGGGCCCCTCTTGGGGCCGGCTTGGGGCCCCCTTGGGCGATCTTTGGCGTCTCTTGGGCCGTTTGGAGGCCTTCTTGGACCGTCTTGGGGCCCTCTTGGGAGCCTCTTGGGCCGTCTTGGGGCGGTATTGGGGGCCTCTGAGACCATCTTGGAGCGTCGGAAGCCCGAGAACGCAAAACGCGAGAACCATCAAAGCACACAAGGGATATCACTGAGTTTTGCCTCTTCGGGCCTCTTAGGGGTCCTCTTGGAGGGCTCTTGGGGCTTCTTTGGGGCCTCTTGGGCCGTCTTGGAGCCATATTGTGCGTCTTGGAGCGCTCCTGGGCTGTCTTGGAGGCCTCTTGGACCTTCTTGGGCGCGTTCTGGAGCCCTCTTGGCCCGTCTTGGGGCCCTCTGGCCTCTGGAAGAGCCATGCGGGGCAGCCCAGGAACGCGCGGGAACGCCTTGGAAATTTGAGAATTTGGGGCCCCAGCCCTGAGTACAGCGAACAGAGGACACATGAGAGCCTGGGGGTAACTCCAATTCGTGCCTCGAGGCACGGTGGCGGATATGACGAGATGCGCGCGGCGCTAAGGCGAAAATCCCATCGTGAAAACGATGGATGCGCCGTCCATCTGTGAAATTGCTGCAACCTTCAAGCTTCAGGGATCGTAAACAGGGTGAGGAGGCGAAGCGACTGGCCCGTCCTACCGACACGTCTGAGGGCGCTATCGGTTTCAAGTTGTGTGGATATGTGCATCGGCGTTCGGTAACGGGTGCAGGCTGTCTCTGAGATGGGGATAAACAAGATTCTGGCGCAGAAGGTGTGCAACGAGTGTAATGCCGACGGGTTGTTCGGGGAGTTGTTTTTGTTTGTGTTGTTGCTGATTATGTTCCCCCTCCTCCTGCAGTGGAGTTGAGGTTGCACTTGATTGTTGTGGTGCCGGGGAGGGGTAAAGTGAGAACTAGTCGCTCCTTCTTGGTTCTCCTCCTCGTCCTTCTTACGTTGCACCTCTGCCTTCTCCTCATGCTGCACCTCCCCCCCTCATATCGGAGAGGATGAATCGGCAGAGTCAGGATGGGGGAGGAGGATGAGGAGAGGAGGAGAAGGAGGAGGAGGAGGAGGAGAAGAACGAGGAGTACGATGGAAAGGATTACGAGGAGGAGGAGGATGACCAGTGAAGATCAAAGACGCCTCAACGATGCTGCAATGAACCCTCCCTCCAAGTTTCCCCTTTCGAGACCCCAATAATCTATAGTCATTGCGGGAAGTGGCTCATTAGAAGGCAACCGCTTGATAATATTTGATCGTGTTGCCGCGAATCAATGTGTTCCCCGCGTTCTGGCAATCCTGACGCGTGCCAGAGCACGATTCTTGGGACGTGGACGCCGCGAGTCCACGATACAGTCGCGCCCTGACATTTCGAAATCGTGCCAGGACGCCATTCCCGGGCCTTGGGACTTCAACCATACGAATGGTTGAAGCAGGTGAAGACTGCGCGGCGAAATGGCGAGAGCCACAGTTTGAAAAGGAGCAGCCCTCCATAAATGTAACGGGCGAAGAACCGTATAAAGTAAACTTTTTCGCCGTCGGGGACACCTGCCCCTGGGCGGCTGGAAAGTTTATACCCTTACGGTGGCACCGTAGGGGTATAAACAATTTTCCAGCCGCCCAGGGGCAGGTGTTCCCGACGGCGAAAAAGTTTATTGTATACCGCTCTTCGCCCGTTAAACTTAGGCGAGAGCCGCATTGATAAAAAAACGCCCACCCTTCCGTGAAGGCGCTTTGAATCTCAAGCCTCGGGGTCGTGAGTGGTTGGGAAGTCTCAGGCGAAACGCCCGGCCCGCCCGACCGGCACCTCCTAGAGGCACGACGGGGAGGAGTTGTGGATATGAGCAAGGAAGAGAAAGAGGAGGGAGGAGGAGGAGGAGAGGGAAAAGGAGGGAGGAGGAGGAGGAGGAGGAGGAGGAGGAGGAGGAGGAGGAGGAGGAGGAGGAGGGAGGAGGAGGAGGAGGAGGAGGAGGAGGAGGAGGAGAGGAGGAGGAGGAGAGAGGAGGAGGAGGAGGAGGAGAGGAGGAGGAGGGGAGGAGGAGGAGGAGGAGGAGGAGGAGGAGGAGGAGGAGGAGGAGGAGGAGAGGAGAAGGAGAAGGAGGGAGGAGGAGGAGGAGGAGGAGGAGAGATGGAAGGAAAACGCTTGCGCATCACCGGACGAAAACGAAGTAAAAGACCAGTCGGACCATTGCGGAAAGAACCTGGACATCTATGGCGATCACACTGTCTGCTGCAATACTGGTCCGTACATCTCAATGCGGCATGGTTCGCTGGAGTACTGGTCCGTACGGCATCCTAGCGCAGGCGGGCCGCGACGCTGGCTGCTCGGCGCTGCTGGAGCAAACGGTCCCTGAGCTCGGCCTGAAGAAGCGGCGCTGGGACTGCAAGGAGATTTTTCGAAGAGGCCATTCTGGACACAGGGCTGTTCGGGCACCCGACGGCCCCGGAGCGCCTCATCGACGGGACGGTGCGCCATCCCGCGGCCGCCCACATCCTGCTGGCTGCCGCCGTGACGCTGGGCGCTGCCGCTGCGGAGGGCGTCCGGTGCAAGGAGGATCGCTACCCGGACACAGGGGGCAAGTCCGTGATCCCCTCCGCCAAAAAGACCTGCGGCCGCATCCATGGCCGCCTGTCCTCCCTGCTGGGCGACCTCGCGGCCCTCGCGTCGCAGCGGCAGCGGGACCGCGGCGTCTTGTCCACGCGCTGCGGGGCGCGCTGGCGCACGCTGATCAGCGTTCGTCTGGCCATGGGCGCGGCGCAAGCCCTGGTGGACGCGGCGCCCGCCCGGCGCCGGGCCTGCGGCGCCATGCGGGACCGGGCGGCGCGGGGCGCCAAGGCGGTGGCGCCGGCGGCTGGCGGCCCCCTTCTCCTCACCCGCTCCCTTCTCCGCTGCGGTGCTTGCCTCGAGGGGTCGGTGCTACAACGCGGGAGAGGGAGAGAGCGAGAGAGAAAGAGAGTTGGGGAGCACGCGTCCTCCGTGGATTCCCTGTGCGAGCGGGGCGCGGAATCTTGGAAACCGTTGCGCGGACGCGATGGGCAGCAAAAAGCTTGGAGTTCGAGCTCGAGCCGCGGGGTGCCGCCCAGCAGGCGAGCGACGGGGGGGACAGTGCGAAACAGGAGGCCTTTTTCAGAAGGCGGCGGGGCGTCTCAGAAGCCCTCCGGCCTTGGGCCTTCGGGGGAGGTTCAGGCAAGTGTTCAGACGGCCGTGGGACTTCCGAGCCTTCTGGAAAAAACCCGCCTCTTCACACGTCCCGCCTGGGCGCGCCACCGAAAACCCTTGCGACGGCGCGGCCCGTCTCATCTACGGAAGAGCTTCTTCTTTCGGGGGCATGGCCAAGATGTCGCGGGATGGTGTGCATGCCGATCTTGGTCACAGGGCTCGAACTTTACAGTGAAATTGGCGATTTCGTGGACCGCTTTCGTCTTGAATTCTTAGTGCAACCGAGGCGGAATGATGACATTTCGATGGGAAACGACAGCAGAACGAAACGGAAAACACTGTTCATGTCAAGCCCTGCTTGGTCGTGGTCCATGTCGGCCGTCGCCGATTCGCGAAGACGATCCACGAATTGGCTGTGACCAACATCGACGGTGGCCAATTTACGAAACGATGCTTCCACGTTCGGTCTTGGTCAAGCGCGCGCCCCGTCTTCTCTACCGGAGGTTTACGTACTGACTCGCGGAGTTCAGACGCGTGGTGGTTTTCATCCGTTGGTGGGTATTCACTGCCACTGCTGCGGGGGAAAAGTGTGTTCGGTGTTGGTCATGGTGTTGACCCACGGAGCTCAGACGCGTCGTGGTTAATTATCAAGTCTTCGTTGCCGATGCTGCGGCGAAACAAATGTTCAGTCTTCGGCGGAGGGCGGCAGAAGGGTGGCGGGGGGCGGCGGAAGTGAAACAAGGCCGCCTCCGCCAACGGAAGGCCGGCGGAAGGCCAGCGAGAGCCAGCGGAAGTAAGATAAACGCCCCCCCAAGAGATGACAATACTTTTGGGTTCAGGGTTTCCCGAACCCTCCATGTGTTTAGTCCTGGTCATGGTCCTCGTCTTCTTCCCCTCCAGCCTCGCCAGTTTTCCGCCGCGCCCGCTGAGAACATGGCACTTTTTTCCTGCGGCGCGCGATCTGTCCGAGCCGCCGCATGGCCTAGGCGCCTGCCATGTGCCGCCCGCGCACGCACGCCTCTTACCTCGGCCACGCGCAGATGGGGGTACTGAGTGGTGAAGGCTTTTGAAAGGAGCCTGCTTCTTCGTTGGCGCTGCCTTATCGACCGGGGTATGACCCGCGCCTTCTAAGAAGCAGCCCCCTTCTAAGAAGCCTTCCCCCGTCACCCTACCCCCTGTGCGCGCCGCCAATCCTGTGAGCCACCCGCGCATGTCCGCGTTTTTCCGTCCATCAGTTCCACGGCATCTTCGGGGGACGCCGTTTGTCCTGTAGTTACGTGGCGATCTCTCATTAGAGGAGGAAGAGGTACCGGCACCGCTGCTCATCTTGGAGAACCCTCGTCGCCACGACTGGATTCTCTTTGAAATTCTGGTCAGAGCGCACCCCTGGGGAGGTCTGGGGAGTAGCGGTACCGGTACCTTGTCGTCCCTCCATTTGCCAGCATCCCATACGGGTTCGACTCGGACCCGATGCGGCGACGCGGATTCGACGCGGATAGCGACGCCATGAGGCCGATTCATCCAGTCAGGGTATCGATTTGGGCCAGCCTGGTCCGATTCGATTTCGATGATACGCAGCGCTCCGATGCGGCCCGATGCGTGCATTGCGATAATATGCATCCTGGCGCAGCCGATCCGATTCGATCTTGACCCCGTACCGACGCAGAACGACCCGACGCGCCTTCCGATCAGATTTAGGCCTCCGAGTCGGGTCCGAAAAGATGGGGTCGGAGGATCGCGCCGTATCGCCGATGCATCGGCGATGCATCGGCGATGCGGCTCCATGTGTAGCCGGGTTTTCTCCACGCCGACGGCGCCGATGCAACGCCGACGGCGCTGACGCATTGCCGATGCATCGCCGATGCATCGGCGGTACACCTGCGATGCGGCGTGATCCACCGACCCCATCTACTCGGACCCCATCAGGGAGGCCTCTGCAAAACAGGGCTAGGATCGGGATAGATCGCTCCAGAGCGTTCCGGAGCGCTCTCAGAGCGTTCCGGAACGCTCTGGAGCGGCCGCGGCGCCCAATACATCCTCCAAACCCGCCGATTCTCAGAGATTTCGAGTTATCCCGATCCGATTTTGTCCCGATCTTCGCGTCGCTTTACTCTGTCATATCCGATGATGGCGGATCCTGCCGGGCCCCCCGAAGATGCAGCACAGCGTTGGCGCCGACGGCGCTCCGGGAGCTCCCTCTCCTCGGCCGCGCGCCCAGCTCCGCTCCTGCGTGCCGCAGCCTGTCCCCCGCCTGCCCGCTCCCCCTCCTGCTCCTTCTCTGCCTGCTCGCCCTCTTATGATGCATCTTTTGGAGACCTCGCCTGCCCCCAGAATCGGTGCTCTTTCCCGTGCCCGACGCGGGCTCGATGCGGGCTCGACGCGGATTTGACATGGATTCGGCGCGGATTCGACACGGATTCGACATGGATCTAGCGAGTCCGACAAGGATCCGACACGGATTCGACGCGGATAGGGCCGCGATTGGACAGACAAGGTTCCCCGAGGATGCGACATAAGTCTTCTTCGCGCTCGTCCACCTGCTCGTCCATTTTTCGAGACGAACCAAATTGAGACGGCTGGTGTTCTCGCCGTTGCGGACATGTTGAAACCTGCTTGGGGTCTTAATGAGACCACTTGACACGACATGGCAAGGTGTCGTTGAGCAAGGGGTCGAGATGCCTAGGGTCCATTTAGCGAATAACTCGAGCCGCCGAAATCTAGGTCTTGCCCCTCCTCCTCCTCCTCCTCCTCCTCCTTCTCCTCCTCCCCCAGAGGGTTTCGGAGGTCCCTGGAAGTCACTTCCCCTGAAATCGGCCTTCCCCCAAACTGCAGAACGCGTCCAACCAGTTTTGTCTTCGATCCAAGACCATCTTCCTCCCCCTCCTCCCCCTCCTCCTCCTCCTCCTCCTCCTCATCATCATCATCATCATCATCATCATCATCATCATCATCATCATCATCATCATCATCATCATCATCATCATCATCATCATCATCATCATCATCATCATCATCATCATCATCATCGTTTCTGCTCCTTCCCCCGTCCACATCGGGGCCGTGCCCTTTCCTAGAGAATACAGCGAAGCAGCGGGTGGCATTGTGATGATGGTCGCGCGGCCGGGGCGCACGAGCAGGAGCAGGGGCCCTGTCGGCAGCAGGGGCAGGAGCAGGGGCCCCAGACACCCGGGAGCCGGAGCAGGAGCGGGAGCACCCGATGACAGGCTTCTCCCACGAGAGGGCCCCCGCAAGTCCTGGCACGTTCCCGGGGCTCGCCCCTTCGCACCCCGAGCAGTCAGGAGCGGGGGCATCCGAGGACAAGCTTCCCAAAGGGGGGAGGAGGAGAAGGAGGAGGAGGAGGAGGAGGAGGCGGAGGAGGAGGAGGAGGCGGAGAAGGAGGAGGAGGAGGAGGAGGAGGAGGAGGAGGCGGAGGAGGAGGAGGAGGAGGAGGAGGAGGAGGAGGAGGAGCTGGAGGAGGCCCCCCGAAGTCCTGGCACGTTCCAGGGGCCGCCCATGTCTCACCCCGCGCAGTCCCGTGGACGGCCCTCGGGGCCCGCCGCGGGCCCCCGGGAGACCAAGAGCGGCGAAGACGGCAGGCACTGTGCATACCCATCGGTCGTTGAAAGTAGGTATTTTTGGATTCCCAGATTCCAGTTCTGAGTCGAGGAGCTGGTGGCCCAGAATCGCCCCGGCCGACCCCGGGAGCGCGCGCGGCCGCCGCCCAGGGCGCGCCTTGGCGGGATTCTGGGCCGGCGGCGCGGTGGCCCAGAAGCGGTTCCGCCGATGCTGGGCTGGCGGGCTGGTGGCCCAGAAACGGGTACCCATCGGTCGTTGAAAGTAGGTATTTTTGGATTCCCAGATTCCAATATACTTTCAGCGCCTTCCTACTTCAAGAGTCGCGTGGTTTTCCCTCTTCCCTCCTCTTCAGGAGGCGGGGCGGAAACCCGATCTATTTCCAACGCCTTCCTACTTCATGTTTCGACCTACTTCTTCCGACCGGTGGGTAGTTGGGGGACCTGGGCAGCAGGCGGACGGGAGGCTCGATCGCTGAGGCTCTGGGGCGGTCTGCGCTCTGGGGGTCCCTTGGTGGAGCTTCCCTGGTCAAAGGAGGACAAGGTACAGTCGGGGCCCTGAAGCTACTTCACTCACTTTGATTCGAGGGTCGATAGTGTACATTGCTTGCGGTCTGAGATCAATATCAAGAAGCAGTTATTCATCAGGCAGATGTTCAATGATGCTACTTTCATCGTTGGGGACATGAAGGGCCTTCAGCAGGACAAGGTGCGCGATTGCATTTCTGGCACGGATGGGGTGGTCCCCCACTTCGTTAGCCTTGACATCGGATTTCCGTGCAAGAGCCGCACGCCCTTGAGTGCCAAGTGTCGCGAGAACTTGAACTGCTGCCAGAAGGACACAGCCGAGACAGGCAAGGCCGTCAATTGCATCTTCAAGATCGTGGCGAAGAATTGGCCAGAAGAAGTATTGATGGAGTGCGTCGTCAATTTAATGCAGGTCGGCGACGGTTGCTTGATATCGGACGCGGCTTGGATCACGCAGCAGTTGTCCGAACGGGGCATTTGGTGCATCGACGCGGTGGTTCAGGCATTGAAGCAAGGGTCCCCAGTGCCGCACGAGCGTGATTATTGGGCCGCTGTCAGGGGCATCCCGAAGGAGAAGTGCGTCGAGGCAAGCCACTTCTTCTTGGACATCCTGCATGCCTTCAACGTCGGTGAGATGACGCCCGCCCAGTGCAATGAGGTGTTCTTGATAAAGAAGACTCAGCTCAGGGAGGGCATCTCGGACTCATGCGGCCTCCCAGTTTATGCAGGCACGGGCCTGATATCGAACCAGTCGAAAGGCCCGAAGGCCACGGTGCGTGGATCAACTTCGGGGGATTGGTAGTTGGATCGGTTCCCAGGATGGCCATCCCAGGGCCTCAGGGCCCCAGGGCCGCAGGGCCCCACCCCTGATCTGAAAGCTCTGGCCCCCGTGCGTCTAGACCCGTTCTCCCCCCGTTATCTTGCGCCCGGCAGGCCAGCGAGCCGAACTACAAGACGGACCACCACCAGATCTTCACTGCGAGTGGCTTCGAGTGGCCCGTGAATTTGGATGGGCCACGCGGTGCGGACGTGCCCCCAGATGGGTTGTATGCGGGAGAGCGGGAGTCTTTGGCCTTCTTGCACTGGAGGTTCCCATTCGATGTTGCGAACGGTGCTGAGTATGCCGAGTTCATCGAGATCAACACTTCTCTGCCGCGTCTCCGTCAGGGTTGTGTGGGGCCCGACTCGGAGTACGAGCGCTTCAAGAAAAGCCCGTGGAGGCCGACACCTGGCACATTGATCGGCAGTGGCAAGATTGCAGCCAGGTATGCCTATGATGGTGCTATCGTCGTGAGGTTATTGGAGCCAGTGGAGTATTTGCGGTGCATCGGCTGGGGCTCTTCTTTCTGCGAGATGCAGTTGTTCAGCCAAAGCGCGATGCACACCCTCAGCCCGCCTCTCACGCAGGCCTCTTACGCAGACCTGATCGCCGACATGGCGGGCAGCGCGTGGTCGGCGTACTCCTACGCCGCCGTCAGGACAGCATTGATTGCGACGTCGGGCAAGTACGTGCCAGCGCAGATAGTGGATTTGGCCAGCGTCGATGCCGCCGACGATGTGGGTGCGTCCGAGGACGCGAAGGCTGGCGTCGACCCTGAGGGCGACGGGTCGGATTCGAGCGACGACAGCACCTCGTCCGATTAGTGCGGCGGCCCGAGTTGTTTGTTCGGTGCTCGGTCAGACGGGGCGGGCGGATCCTTATTGGGCTGCCCCCCATGTGGCCCATGTGCTAACATCATGCTGTTCGTCTCATCGGTTGGTCGTCTTGTCGTCGTCGCTCTTTCTGACCCGAACTGTAGGGTCCAGAGCCGACGAAAGAGAGAGGGGGGGGG